CAAAAGTACGTTAGACTGTATCGGTCATTGCCTACAGTTCCTGATGCCATATCCTAGAAATAGAATCACTTTGGAAAAGAAGGATTAGGTCTAATTTGATTCTCTATTTAAACTACTCAAAAACCATACTTACTCAACATATGATTTAGTTCTTGCCCGAGATTCACATGAATACGAACTTCGAAACAAAGTTCAGAAATACAGATCAAAAACTCAAGAAAACTTCTTCCTCATCGATTATGCAATAATATGGAACAGTCTTCCTTCCGAAATACGCACGGCAGACAAATTACATAGGTTTGTAAAACTGCCTGATCAAGCCCTCACTTGCACTGATCTAGCACGTACAAACACATCTGCGCCCCACTCAGACATCTTAGGCTCTCTCCATTTCTAGACCAAAATGAACTTCAAGTTCAGCTTGCCTTAGTTTTTCAACTTTGAAGTTGTATTAGTCACTTTTTCCACTCTATTTCTTCACTTGAAGTAGACAGGTAACTCACTCGATCTATAGATACTGTTCAACTAGACTCCGTCGCTAAGGGACACTCACTACCACCCTAAAAAGTCAAAAGAACCGCACAATCGACTGCCTACTACCAGTGGTCTTGCATCTATGAAGCCTGTTACCCATCAACTGGTTAGGACAGCACAAAATGACATCAGCGCCAAGTTAGCGTGAGTTTCTTCCCGTCTGTTCTTTATTACATTTTTACTCTTCTGTACACTATGTTGACTAGCAATTAATATTATCTCTCCACTCGTTACCTTATCTACAACTCATATACTTCTATACTTTTCCGCCTGCTGTAATAAACAACTATGCTACATTATACCCTTCTTAATGCTTATAATCTGATTAGCAAGCTATACTTTGTACTATAGTCAATTAAAACATAGCATCGATGCCTTACCCACAGTCCATAACTTGTAACTGCCTGATGAGCCTGTAAAATGGTACTTATAGAAATAGTGTTTTCCAACAGGATGTGAAAAACGGAGCACGGAGGGAGGTATGATATATATATCCAAAAATAAGCTTAAATGAGCCAAACATCGCAAAAGGAGGGAGGGTGGGGTTACTGACCAGCAAGTATTGATGGCGAGGGCTATGACTTCAATCCACCCATGTTTGTGGGGCAGAACATTTTGTATATATCAGGCTCTTTATGATTGGAAACGAGTCAATCAGTCTGTGGTATAGATTATCTTCCTACGATCACCACTCAGACTCATGTTTCCAATTTTATGCTGGATTTGCTACTCTACTAAGACAACTTATAACATGCTAACTCGGACCTTTACATCAAGACTACGTGACAGGCATCGGGTGGAAAAATCCGACAATAAAGAAAATAGTTATTAGTTTACTTAACACTTTACTCTCTATATGCACTCTGTTCTAATAGACAGCCTTTCTTGTACCAACTCTGACCTTCCTTCCTTCATTTGAACTTACTCTTCCTTGATAAATATCACAACTCGTTGTTCTTTACTACTGCACTCTCTCATCTGGAGCCTCTGGTCATCTTTTACTTAATCTACAAGAGCTGGTATGAGTTTAATCCAGTAATTTGTCATGCCTCTGTCTGTTCCACTACAAAATGTCAAGTATTTTTTATCGTTCCTATCCAAGTGTCTTGCTGCTCCTCAGTTTTTCTTTTTTTGAGAATCTTGCTCTGAGGGTACAGCTGTAGAACTTCTGGCATGTGGAACAAACTAGACATACGTGTTTTTCCAAAGTTCACTGTTCACACCAAGCGCTGTACAAGTCTACGTTACAACTATAAGCTTAAAATTCTCATTGCTTAAATGCTATATCTGAAGGAATGAACTGATATTCACTTTCATAGACTATATTTATTTAACATGCATAATATGAAACAATAAATGTTGTAATTTGTAGATCATGCTTGTAAAAATGGCATGTGCCTGCCACTGCAGAAATATATATTATTATTAAAACTAATGTGATCAGCATCCGATGTCAAAATCTTACATAGCTATTTATTTTGGGGATTTATTTACCGCTACATTCGCCAAAACTGAGCTGCAACAACTCACTAACAACAGGTGTTAGAGTTTCAAACGATTGGGTGTATCAGGTTAACGGGGCAACCTACAGCAGGTGGACTTCTCAGTCCAGCCTGAACTTAGTGTGGGCGCTCATTGGGATTTTTTCTTCCTTCTTGAAAGTTGGTTCACATTACACGATTTCCAAATGAGGTATCAAGTCAACGTTCATTGATTAGCCCACTTCATACCTAAATAGTGGACCTACTAGGGTCAGAGTAAACTTTACCTCCTCTCAGGGTACTGAATGTCCCATGGGGGTGCCTCAGTTTTCAGTAGTAGAATCTCTTTTTTCCAATCTGCATAAATGACCTCCATTAGCAAGTATCACCTGATTCATTGATTTTCACTGACGATGTGAAACTTCGTGGAGAATTTCGAAACCAAGATGATATGACCCCACTTCAAAGTCAGACGGATAACGACCGACCTTATTTTTGGCACTTAAAAGTATAGAGTATTCCATCTGCGGCGTGTTTCAGACAACACATACAACTTAAGTAACTCCTCCTAGAGATATCCGAAGTTGAAAAAGATCTAGGAGTGCTAGTACTCTACTATCTAAAATCTCACGTTAACCGCGACAAAGTACCTCTTGAGCAAACCTTTAGCTGATTATGTTGAAATTCGTTTTCGATCAGTTAGACTGTGGAACTTCCCACCTGATTTTAAACAGTTTTTCTCGATCGCATGTGGAGTATGCAAATAGCGTCTCCTCCCTCACTCTGAAAGGGTAAGTCTACAGTGGGACGCAACCAATGGCGAGCCACGAATTCAGTCTGCGTGTTCAAATTAAAACGTTATAAATAGCACTTCAAATATCTGAATCTTTTCCCATTAGTTTATAGGCGTCTCAGTGGTGACCTTAAAGCGAGTCATAGTATTCTAAACACTCTTGCACACGTCCTCAAACATTTCCATTAGTCTGGTTTCAAATCAAATCTTAGGGTGCCACCCAAAAATTAGAGGCACAACATGATATGACGAACTGTAGGCATATCTTCTATTCCTTAAGAATAAAATTCGCTACCGACTGAGGAGGTGCGATTGGCGTCCTGATAATACTTTAAGAGTAAACTTGGTATACTCCGATGAACTGAGGACATTATCTCAATATAATTAACTAACATTTATTTTTTGATCATTATATATATGTAGGTTCCAGCCTGGGGTCACGGTGATCCACAGCAGCTAGATAAGAGATCATTTACTTTCGGTATAAAAGGTAAAGAACCTAGGACAGAACCTTGTGCCACTCCACTAAAAACTGGTCTCCAAGTGGAGCACTTGGAATTTACATTTACCCTCTATCTAGGACATACTAGGAAATCCTTTAGCCATTTTAAAAGGAGTTCTGCAATGTCAAGATTTTCTAGCATCAATAGCAGTTTATTTGTTGGCACCTTGTCAAATGCCTTACTGAAGTCTATATGACAGCATCCACTGATTTTCCATTATCTACAGCATTGATCCATTGCTCCTTTGCTATAGGGAGATGTGTAGTGCAGCGTAAACGTTTTATGGAGGCATGCTTTCTGCTGTTTAACAAGTTATCGATTTCCATGAATGCCATTATGGTCTTTTTGATTATTGTTTCCAATATTTTTACTAGAACACTGGTAATGCCGACAAGTCTTTAGTTCGATGGAATTTGTCTTGGTTCTGTTTTATGTATTGGAGTGACGATTGCATCTTCCCAGTCCGTAAGTAACACACCTTGGTCAAGTGACAATGAATATCACAGATAGTGGGGCTGAAATATATTGCGCATTTAGTCTCAGGACATACTGTGCATTATGCCTAGGGTATTTAAGCGTACTTCATGAGGTCCTGTTGACTCACCGTATCTAAGGTACTAAGTGCCTTAAGTTCATTGTCTTGATCAAAGTCAACGGTGAGCAGACGGCTTGTTGACTTCGTATTTGGGTCTATTCCTTCGTCTAGAAGAGGTTCCTGAGTGAAAACTGCCCCAAAATAGTTTGTCACAGCCTCTGCTATTTCTTAATCATCCTCTATCGTTTCAGATCCACTCTTTTCCTTAATTAGGTTGGCTATCCGATGCTGCATCCTTGTTCTGTAATTTAAGTATGAGAATAGTCTCTTAAACTGCTTGATTGCAGATTATGGCAAATGCATTTCATATTTTCTCAGAGCCCCTCTGATTTTAATTACACCTGTAGCGTTCCATAGTACTTGCTGTGCCAAGGCTGATAGCAACCTTCCAGCATTTCTCCTTTCGTCTTAATGGACTTCAAATATCCCGGTCTATCCAGGGATGGGGATGCTTCTTGTTCTTTGGGACTGTCTAGGGTATATACGGTTGAGTTGCCGGTTTGTATAACCGCCTGAAATGAGTCCGTACCTCACATATATCCAGTTTTCAGCCGATGCTGCAGAGTTTAGCGCTTCCATGTCTGACTTCCATATGTGGGGACGGGCCGGCGCAACTGTCTGACAGGCCATCTCAGCCGTGAACTTGAATAAAATGGCTGCATGATCACTTCTCCTTAGGGGTGGTAGGAAAGTCATTTGACCGACATCATCATTGTGTGTGAAGACTAAGTCCAAGAGAGACGAGAAACTTCGAAATTCATATCTAGTTGAACTCTAATATGCTGTAATAAAGGTAGTGCAATTGTGGTTTCTAACAGTTTGCAATCAAATGACGTTGTTGATGAACCTACTTCTATGTTAGCCTTGCAGGTGCTGCAGAAGATTACACTGAGTGTTGTTTATTGGTCGCCAGTATTATTACCTCGATTGTTTGACCACTTATTTCTTTCCACAATCAAATTTCTAAGATTATTTAGTTCGGCTTTTACAAGTGACTCAATTTGTTCTTTGGCACTTCTAATTGTTTAAACTGTCGACGAAGTCTTTACAAAATATTTATAACATATCGTGCGCACTCGACGTTTCGATATAGATGGAAAAAAATGTCTCTTCGTTTTGAATGATAATTTCTGATAAGCCTCTTGATTTAAAGTCTCACTGGGTTTTTAATATGTGTTTATCATTTTTCATTACGAAATTCGAAACGGTTTTGATAACCATGGTTATCACAGTCTGCAGACTTTGTAAAATTCCCATAATTGAAAAATAGTGATCTGAAGCGCTTTTTATTTGTCGATGTAAAGCAGCATTAGAAGTTTCAGAACTTCGCATTTGATGCATCAACCTTGGATAATTTCTAAAACGATTTTTCACTTCACTTGAAAAAGCTTGCAAAATGTCAGGTCATTTAGCGGTTAGCCAATCTTCATTGAGGTATGCAATATTTGTAATCGAAAATAATAGAATAAGAGAATAATCAGATGCTCATGCTTGACAAACCGCAGTAAAGCCTCCTTCCAGTTTCATCGGGTTTTTAATACATGTCTGTAGTTTTTCATTCGGGATTTCAAAACGGTCTTGATCACCAAACTATGTGTAAAATTTTCACTTAGTTGTGCCGAAAAGTTTATAATTGTTTGACGAGCTGAGTTTTTCGGGACTCGGGTCAACTTATTGAAAATCCAGAACAACAGGACACACCTTTTAATCGAGAGATATTTTCGACAAACGTGATCCCGAAATTGTTCGACAAAATGTCTGTCGAAATAAAAAATATATTAAACCTATATTGGTAGAACTATATTGTATTTCGAAAAATGTAGTTAGCCCAAACGTAGCAGTATTTCCTCACCTTTCGTACTGAAGAATTTTACAAGTGTTAGTGTAACTAACTAAATTAGAAGAGCGGTTGTCTTTGGAAAACTACCGTTTGTTCTAAACTGAGATCTCTCAAGGTAATTTGATTGTATTGCAGACCACATGTAGCTTCTCATTCGTATTCTGGTTAAATGTCAAAGTTTATGGCTGAAGATATGATGGCTCAATATTTTACCATGAGTATTTGGCTTAAGTTTTACTAACCTGATGTCATAATATATCTATCGTCTTCCACTTCATCTCACTTGTATGGTTGGGTCATTCAAAATCAAGGTGGAAATAGTTTCCACTTTTTGATGAATTCTGGTTATTTTAAAACTAATTTCATCTTACTTTGTGAAAGTTAAATCTCTGGAAGCCATATGATTGAAGTCAGACATATTCTATAACTTGCGTCATTTTATATAAAGTCGTTTTACCACTTTGTATTACTGCAAATGCAAATTATAATGTATTTTATATTGCAGTGGCATGGCAGAAAACAAGAAGTTGGATGATGACGTCACTGTTGTCAGAGATAAACCAGATAATGTAAAACTGAAGCGATCTATTGGTATTGTAACCAGTATCACCATCATAGTAGGATCAATGATTGGCTCAGGAATATTTGTCAGTCCTACTGGTATTCTGAGGAACGTCAGAAGCATAGGAGCTACTCTTATTATATGGGTTGCATGTGGGATCGTCAGCATGCTCGGAGCGTACTGTTATGCAGAACTTGGCACGATAATAGAGCGATCCGGAGGGGATTATATTTATGTATATGAAGCATTTGGACCATTTATTGGATTTTTACGTTTATGGATGGAAGTAATGGTCGTAAGACCTGGAACTATCGCTATTGTAGCTTTGACATTTGGGGAGTATGTTGTTGTACCTTTGTATCCAGACTGTCCGCTTCCCATTATGTTGCTCAGGATTTTGGCAGTTTTATGTATTAGTATGTTTAAAAATATTTCCTTACAGCGTTTTTTCCATTTCATTTATTAGGATGTGCTCAAGTATATACTCAACCAACATTAACTCGTATGCACTTTTATGGATAAAATGCACTGTTTGTATTTTTGATAAGCGAAGAATGAAGGCAGTTGTTTAGATGAAAATACTGGACAGAGGTCCCCATAAAATGTAGTTCTAAACATAAAAATGATAAAGACTGTATGGTGGGAGTATAACTGTGCTGATAAACAGAAATCACTTTTAAGTAGCTTCTTCGTTCCGTGAAATGGATGACGTGAATCATTCCATCAAAATTTGTTTGTTCTTTAAATTTGAATAGAGCATAATAACATTTGGGAAAAATACCATAAATCCTGATTGTTTTCGACATTCTCGCCAAATGTATATGATCTGTGGGGATTTTGACGCAAAGCATGTACGACAGAAGAATGATGAATGAAATTAATGGTGGACTAAAACCAGTAAAATTAAGTAAAAGTTGTTTGAGTGATAAGTGATAAGTGCCGAAAGTGTCGAAATGTGAATAAACGAAATACGGATCAGAAAGTGAAAAACTGATGACAGTTAAATTATGAGTTGTGAGTGAATAAAGGAAAACTGAGAAGTGTTAATTTCTGAAGACTGTGTGCCTTCAATCGTAAATTATGCTTTTGACAGACTTGCAACACATGACAACGACTGAATAATAATTAATACCAGATGAATTCAAATGTATTATATCAGTAAACATTCTGTTTATTTTTTGATACTAAATATTTTGATTAGTTGGCTTATAGATCTCAATACTACTGGTAGTTACTAATTTGTAACTACAGTAAACTGTTTGGAATAAATAATATATTCTAGTCATTGTTTTCATAATGAACGGTTCGTTTATTATCTAATTACTTGCCAAACTAGAAGTATCAATGGAATCGATATGTTATAAATTAATTTGATGATAAGATACTGGTAGAAGTTCACTTAGAAGAAGGTTGCACGTTTTGCTGTTTTCACTATTACCGATTATTTTTCATCTGAAAATGTTTAAAATGATCAGATTAATAATATCTTAGTGGAAATTTTTCAGTTACTTATATCACATTTTTTCATCTTGTTTAATGATGCTTAGCATTGCTAAGCTTCGCCAATTCCTTTTCAATCAAATTTTCAACCAGAATACAAGATGTATTTACACTTGCGAAACTTGCCGCTCTCATAATGATCATTGTCACCGGATTTGTACAGATTGGATTTGGTAATTTGATTATATCATTCTTTAAAATTATTTTAAATACCTTTTGTTATCTATAATAATTGGAGTCGGTTTTGTTTTGTGATTTTTGTTGAACTATGAGTGGTTCAATCTTGACATGAAGATTTTATTAATGTGCATCATTCAGGAGTTTCTCATTCCAGATGAAGTGATTGTTTAATCTAAACTAAATGGCAACAAGTGTGTTAAGTTAGTCTACAATAAGAATGATATTTTGTTTACAGAATAGTAAGTGTTGTATAAAGGTTTTCGAAGAACAAGACTGTACGACTGTATGTGATAAGACCCACTTTGGTGAGTGGGAGTCATTTGTCATCGAACTTGAGAAAAATAATCTCCCCTGTCTTCTGTCAAGAATACACATAATTAGTTAATTGATTGAATATGTCTTACTTTAAACGTTGTTTCAATGCAACAACCTTTGAACATTTCATTTCTGTTATCGCTCTTTGATTATATGACTTTTCTAATGACATGTCAGACTACTTTTATTTTTTCAAAGATCTCGATCTGAATAGAGTGATTCTTCAATAAATTGTGAATGAGCAAAATGAGTTTCGTCCTACTTACGTCTGTTATCCCTCGTGGAGCATCCGCCACTGACTGATATTCTCCCACCAGCTCTGTCCTGTGTTTCCATTTCAGCTATTTCAATCGCTGTTAGTTACTCACTGTGATTTATCTCTTCTAAGCAACTGACTAGTATTTATAATCTCTATGTATTTGTGATTGTAATCACTCTTTGTGCCATGATATATTTATTTAGTTAGTAAATTCATTTAGATATCTCGCATTGTACTTTATTGTTTAACTTCTGTTAGGTCGTTATGAAGAGCTGGAAGAACCTTTTGTCGATTCGAACTGGAGTCCTGGTAAAATAGCTAATGCATTTTACAGTGGTTTATTTGCTTATGGTGGCTGGAATAACTTAAATTGTATGGTTGGAGAAATGAAGAACCCCAGGAAACATTTGCCCATAGCAATTGTGGTATCATGCTTACTAGTGACTCTAGTTTACACAGCTGCTAATGTAGCTTATGTGACAGCCGTATCAGTTGCAGAGATTTTGAGTACAAGAGCTGTGGCTGTGGTAGGTGGAATAGTAATTTTACTGGTGTATTGATGCTTTTAATCAATTTTTCTATAAGCCGAGAATATTATTAATGTATTTTCTCCGTTCAACGTCACACCATCTTGGACAGTTCAATACCTTCTTTATTTTAGTTATTGTTTCGTGCAATACAAACGGGGTATTTAGAGGTGTCTGTTTAACATACTTGATCGTATGTGTACAAATGACGCCATTGATGATGATGTTAGGTTGCTAAGTGAAACATTAACGGAAACTGGATATCCTCTGAGATTCATAAATAGATAGAAAGTTCACGGTACAGTGAGACCTACTATAGCTTTGGCAGGGAAAAGCCTGTCTGCATCACCTTACCACTTGGAGGTGATTCAAGTAGCCTTTTATTGAAACAAATACCTAAGTCAGCCATCAATAAGACATATTATGCAGTGAAGTTCATTACCAAGAAAACAACAAGGTTCATGTCTCATCGAAAGCCTAGAGGACAAGAAAACGATTGAGTCATATCCCACTGTGTTTACCAATTTAAATGTGTTTGTGATCGCACACAAACATAAGTAGTAATAGTGATCTTAAAACTAGGTTGTGTGAACGTGTACCCAAATGTCTGGAGAAACGAATAGAATCAAATGACCCAATGAGAATAGAGGATAAACATCCATCATCCCTTATTGCCAAACTCATAATCGAAACAAGTCATGAGATTGATCTTAACTCTGCTGTGCGAATTGGCGTATTCTAAGGTTTATTGAAGCCTTAGCTATACGAAAATTCGAATCCCCTCTGTGTATTCGAATACAATTTGTTCTCACCATAACATTACCCTGGTAATATTAACTAATCATCCAGAATGATGAGGTTTCAAATTGTTTTCACATTGTTCCGTTATTATTCCTCATTTCCTCTTACCCTCCATTTCTAGTCTAGTTGACTTTTATTTTTATATACAAATGTTTTTGATAAGTACATGTGATCAGATTGTTCGAAATGTATTCCGTTAATATATCACATCGTTCTGACACTCTTCGGTTTCTTATTACACTGTCGAAATTACTGAATAAGTTGGATTTACTTTGAAACCATTTTTTTCGTTTACTTACAAAAACAGACATTTGCTAATAGAATATACGGAATGTTTTGGTGGATAATGCCAATATTTGTTGCTTGTTCAACGTTTGGGAGTGCTAACGGAACTATATTAACTACATCGAGAATATTTGTTGCTGCTAGTCAGCGTAAGCAAATGCCAGCGTTTGTCAGTTACTTGCACACGGATCGATTAACACCTATTCCGGCTGTTCTGTTTACTGTGAGTTTCTTGCATAACACTACTTTTCGTCAAACATAAATAGATAATAAAAAGTATTTGCATCTCTACAAATCAGTTAGTATGTTTTAAATGTGAACATTTGATGTCTAATTTGGAACAATGTCGAATATGTTTAAACTGGTTGTATGATGACATTTAATGATAATAAGTTTGAAATTGTAATTAGATTGTGGGTCCCTTTGACAATAATGACTTTGCAGTAATTGAAGCACACCAAGACCAATGATTTTCATTTTACAGTTTCAAAGAAGACTACGAATGAAAACATGGTTTAGACAAACTTTAATTGCTGAAGATGAAATACGTGTTTGAAAAGAGACATAAAACCTTTGAAAATTAACTTCAAATCTACATGATAGGTTGTCCCAAATCTTTTTTTCCAATCATTTAATTGTGTATGGGTTTAAATGTTTTAGCTGATGAGAAGCTTTGAAATGAAATAACGAAATCGTTTTCCACTTCGAATCTTACTGTTATATCCGAAAGAAGATTCAATCACGAGTAACTTCTGATACATATTAATTGACTAATATTATCTATACATTCTTATGGTATTCCTATTTAATAATTAAATTAGGTTTATTTATATTCCTCTTATTATAAACTTTATTTTGATCTATAATTTATTATTGTACGATTTACGGTTCTTAAGCTATGTTCAGTTTATTGACTACTGCCTCCCATGTTCAGCCACTTCTTGGCTTTATTGTGTACAAATGTTATTTCCTATTTTATGGTGCGTTGCGATCTGTTTGATTGATATATAAACCCAGTATGTCTGAAACAAATGATTCGATTGGCATAGTGGAAGCTGGTATTGGTGTTTTGAACTCAATTGGACGGGCTAGGCGGACATAGGACTAATAAGGATGCTAGGCTGCTCATACCGGTCGAACGTCGTTGGTTTGGCACAGAGCTAAGATTGTATAAGTCGTATTTTGATTGGTGGATAAATTACGTGATAAAAGCCGGACATGAAGTCACAACACTTACTGTTCCCGATCTGTCCGAAATTCAATATTATGTTTTTGGTACAATGTTAAAATCTCAGCATGAAGTATCTTAACAAGTTTCCCTTTCTTATTTCTTAATCGACCGTTGTGATAAATA